GCAACAGAGTAGTAATAATTATTAATGAGCCATTGAGATTCTTTTTATAATTGAGGTGGGATAATACATCTGATTAATAAATAATATTTAAGAAATAAAAATGAGTCTTTAGTTGCATTAGATTTTAATAGAAAGCTGAATAATTGCAGGCATAAGAAAACGCTTATTAAGTGGCTGAAAGGGTTGCAAAACAAGCACTGTCGGCATTGAAGAAATAAAATATGAAATATATGTAATTTGTAAATATAAGGGCGATTTACAATGTACCAAAATAGGCCCGAATGGATTTTAAAACAGTGTGGTTCTTTAGTATGTTTGCAAACAACTTTTAAAGGAAGGCAATGTTACTGTTTTGTAAACTAGAAAGCTGCTGCTTCTCTCTTTCTTAAAAGTAATGCAAGCACCCCAAATTCTGCTTATTTTCTCCTGTTTTTGAAAATTATTTAGACTGCACCATAATTGAAAATTATTTAGACTGCACCACCCAGGTTAGAAAGGTACCTTTAGTAATAGAAATTCAAATGTGAAAGGTGCTTCTCCTTGGAAAAGTTGTGAAAATTTGGAACAGTCCTGGGAGGAAAAACCAGAAACACCCTGTTTTTTTCTGGCCCTTCATATTTCTAGAGATAATATGTAAGTCGGTTTTTGCATTGCTTTAGGCATGTTTCTTGTACAAATGAAAAAAAAAAGTGTCAAAATATTCCAGAACGATGTGGCACCTTCCCATTTATTTGCCCTGGGAACTGAACGATCCCTCCATTATAAGTAGTCCTCAACTTACACAATTGGGCCACAAATTTCCATTGCTAAGCAAGACAATCGTTAAGCGAATTTTGTCCCATTTTACGACCTTTCTTGGCACAGTTGTTAAGTGAATCGCTGCAGTTATTAATTTAGTAATGTTGTTACATGAATCTGGTTTCCCCCTTTGACTTTGCCTGTCAGAAAGTTGCAAAAGGTTATCACATGATTCTGGGATGGTGCAATCGTCATAAATACATGCCAGTTGCCAAGTGTCCGAAACTGACCACGGGACCATGGGGATCAATGGCCATAAGTGTAAAAAAACAGCTATGTCACATTTTTCAGTGTTGTAACTTCGAATGGTCACTAAATGAATGGTTGTAAGTTGAGGACTGCCTGTATAACCAAAGAAAAGAGATGTTGACAGGAAAAGAGTTTGTCTAGCATTCCATCCCTTAGTACAGGGGTAGGCAACCTCCGCTCTTTTAAGACTCAAGGACTTCAACTCCCAGAATTCCTGAGTCAGCTATGCTGACTCAGGAATTCTGGGAGTTGAAGTCCATGAGTCATAAAAGAGCCGAGGTTGCCTACCCCTGCCTTAGTATGATTGATTCCTGCATGATTATTTTGAATTTAGTTTAACTGTTCTGCTTTGTTTGCTTCTGTTTTTCAGCTTACAAATAATAGATTTTATCAAAGAAAAGCACTAAACATTTTAAGATATCCATGGTTAGCTGTAATATTTTATAACATATATGTGCCTGGTCTAGGGTATACATTTCGTCAAAACCTATGATAGGTTAAAAAGAAAGATTACATTGAGGCATAACAGAAATCACAGTATGTTTTCATGAGGAAATAAGCCTTCATTTGATAGCTTAAGCTTCAGATTCACATTTGGTTGGTTCACGAAATCAGACACACTGGGCTCTTCCATATCATACTCAAAACCCGATCCTGTCTCAGGATCAGCTTCGTTGCCAGATCCTTCTTCGTCTCCAGAAAATGGCAAAGTACTGGGTTGGTCTTGAAGTATCTCTCTGAAATACATATTTTTAAAAACAATCATTAAGTCTTAGCTACAGTGTTTAGATTTTCTTTATTCCCTAGCTGGAAATAGGTAATGTATAATGTATAAAAAAGATGTCTGGTCTATCTGTTTGTTTGTTTGTTTTTAAAAAAAACTGGCAAATTTATATTCAGAGCAAACAAAAATAAATTATGCATTTGTCTGTTAGTTGTTATGGTTTTTCTCTAGCCTCTTTCAGATAGTTGGTACAGTTTAGCGGATCCACACCTTTTGTTTTGCAGATGCACCCTCAAGTGCTTTGGAGAATAGGTTGATCCACTATTAGTTGTTATCATTATTAGCTATTAGTTGAAGATTTGATTTCCATCATCCCCAGCCAATATGGCCAAAAGCTGATTCAGATAAACAAGACTAAAACTCACACTGCTTTGTAACAAAAGCACACATGCACCCTTTATATTTTATACATAAAACACTAACTGCACAAACTTTCATAAACAACACACATACCTCCAAGGTTTTCTGGTTCCCTCCCTATCATTCAGAGCTGGCCAACTAAAATGTTAAAGTAAGGAATGAGGGAACAAATGAAAACAGAGCACACCTGATTTTTAAAAATATTTAGAAATAAGGGGTTAAATCAAAGCATCAGCTCCAAAAGCATGAGGGAGAAAGAAAAGGATTGAAAATGTAGTAAGAGGACCTATTCTTTGTACTTATGCAGAGCTGTTTGCTGTAAAATAGATGACACACAAGATAAATCAGAATTCAACCACATGAGAAAAATGTCAGTTTCAACTTTCCTTGAATCAAAAGCCACATGAGAGATACAAGCTTCTAGATCAGTGGTTCTCAACCTTTTTAATGCCGTGACCCCAACCGGTCGTAAGTCGAGGACTAAACCGGTCGTAAGTCGAGGACTAAACCAGTCGTAGGTTGAGGACTACCCAACCGGTCGTAAGTCGAGGACTTTCCCTGCCCGGGAGCGCCGCGCATGCGTGGTTCTGCCCCCTGCGCCGGCCGAGGCGTAGCTGGCAAGCGGCAGAGACGGAGCAGGCCGACCACCAGCTGGCCCAGCCCAAGGGAGGTAAGGCACCTGCCGGAAAAGGGGAAAAAAATGGCGGACAAAAAAAATGACGGACAGCCTTGCTTGGCGACCCCCGTGAAATGGTCGATCGACCCCAAATGGGGTCCCGACCCACAGGTTGAGAACCACTGTTCTAGATCAGTGTTTCTCAACCTTGACAATTTTAAAGCATGTGGACTTCAACTCCCAGAAATCCACAGCTGTGGATTTCTGGGAGTTGAAGTCCACATGCCTTAAAATTGTCAAGGTTGAGAAACACTGTTCTAGATCCTCTAATGCAGGGGTAGGCAACCTTGGCTCTTTTATGACTCGTGGACTTCAACTCCCAGAATTCCTGAGCCAGCATGGCTCAGCTTGGAAACTCTCCCTTTCCCCTCAGCATGGCTGGCTCAGGAATTCTGNTCATCTGGAAACCAGCTGAAATTTAGATTACAACAGTACTGCTGAAATTTTAACATGCCATTCAAGCATAGAAAATCTAAGATGTAAAATCCATTAAAACAGATATCGAGTTAGAGAACAACGAATTAACTCTAGAATAGAATAGAATAGAATAGAATAGAATAGAATAGAATAGAATAGAATAGAATAGAATAGAATAGAATACTTTATTTCGCCAAGTGTGATTAGGCACACAAGGAATTTGTTTCTGGTGCAGAAACTCTCAATGAACATGCAGAGCAACAGAGTAGTAATAATTATTAATGAGCCATTGAGATTCTTTTTATAATTGAGGTGGGATAATACATCTGATTAATAAATAATATTTAAGAAATAAAAATGAGTCTTTAGTTGCATTAGATTTTAATAGAAAGCTGAATAATTGCAGGCATAAGAAAACGCTTATTAAGTGGCTGAAAGGGTTGCAAAACAAGCACTGTCGGCATTGAAGAAATAAAATACGAAATATATGTAATTTGTAAATATAAGGGCGATTTACAATGTAACAAAATAGGCGCGAATGGATTTTAAAACAGTGTGGTTCTTTAGTATGTTTGCAAACAACAACTGTGTAGTTTGTTTGCAAACAACAACTTTTAAAGGAAGGCAGTGTTACTGTTTTGTAAACTAGAAAGCTGCTGCTTCTCTCTTTCTTAAAAGTAATGCAAGCACCCCAAATTCTGCTTATTTTCTCCTGTTTTTGAAAATTATTTAGACTGCACCATATCCACCCAGGTTAGAAAGGTACCTTTAGTAATAGAAATGTGAAAGGTGCTTCTCCTTGGAAAAGTTGTGAAAATTTGGAACAGCCCTGGGAGGAAAAAACAGAAACACCCTGTTTTTTTCTGGCCCTTCATATTTCTAGAGATAATATGTAAGTCGGTTTTTGCACTGCTTTAGGCATGTTTCTTGTACAAATGAAAAAGAAAAGTATCAAAATATTCCAGAATGATGTGGCACCTTTCCATTTATTTGCTCTGGGAACTGATCCATCCCTCCATTATAAGTAGTCCTCAACTTACACAATTGAGCCACAAATTTCCATTGCTAAGCAAGACAATCGTTAAGCGAATTTTGTCCCATTTTACGACCTTTCTTGGCACAGTTGTTAAGTGAATCGCTGCAGTTATTAATTTAGTAATGTTGTTACATGAATCTGGTTTCCCCTTGATTTTTCCTGTCAGAAAGTCACAAAAAGTTATCACATGATTCTGGGATGGTGCAATCGTCATAAATACATGCCAGTTGCCAAGTGGGACCATGGGGATCAATGGGCGTAAGTGTAAAAAAACAGCTATAAGTCACATTTTTCAGTGCTGTTGTAACTTCGAATGGTCACTAAATAAATGGTTGTAAGTTGAGGACTGCCTGTATAACCAAAGAAAAGAGATGTTGACAGGAAAAGAGTTTGTCTAGCATTCCATCCCTTAGTACAGGGGTAGGCAACCTCAGCTCTTTTAAGACTCATGGACTTCAACTCCCAGAATTCCTGAGTCAGCTATGCTGACTCAGGAATTCTGGGAGTTGAAGTCCATGAGTCATAAAAGAGCCGAGGTTGCCTACCCCTGCCTTAGTATGATTGATTCCTGCATGATTATTTTGAATTTAGTTTAACTGTTCTGCTTTGTTTGCTTCTGTTTTTCAGATAATAGATAATAGAATAATAGATTTTATCAAAGAAAAGCACTAAACATTTTAAGATATCCATGGTTAGCTGTAATATTTTATAACATATATGTGCCTGGTCTAGGGTATACATTTCGTCAAAACCTATGATAGGTTAAAAAGAAAGTTTACATTGAGGCATAACATAAATCACAGTATGTTTTCATGAGGAAATAAGCCTTCATTTGATAGCTTAAGCTTCAGATTCACATTTGGTTGGTTCACGAAATCAGACACACTGGGCTCTTCCATATCATACTCAAAACCCGATCCTGTCTCAGGATCAGCTTCGTTGCCAGATCCTTCTTCGTCTCCAGAAAATGGCAAAGTACTGGGTTGGTCTTGAAGTATCTCTCTGAAATACATATTTTTAAAAACAATCATTAAGTCTTAGCTACAGTGTTTAGATTTTCTTTATTCCCTAGCTGGAAATAGGTAATGTATAATGTATAAAAAAGATGTCTGGTCCATCTGTTTGTTTATTTTTTAAAAAAACTGGCAAATTTATATGCAGAGCAAACAAAAATAAAATATGCATTTTTCTGTTAGTTGTTATGGTTTTTCTCTAGCCTCTTTCAGATAGTCGGTACAGTTTAGCGATCCACACCTTTTGTTTTTGCAGATGCACCCTCAAGTGCTTTGGAGAATAGGTTGATCCACTATTAGTTGTTATCATTATTAGCTATTAGTTGAAGATTTGATTTCCATCATCCCCAGCCAGTATGGCCAAAGGCTGATTCAGATAAACAAGACTAAAACTCACACTGCTTTGTAACAAAAGCACACATGCACCCTTTATATTTTATACATAAAACACTAACTGCACAAACTTTCATAAACAACACACATACCTCCAAGGTTTTCTGGTTCCCTCCCTATCATTCAGAGCTGGCCAACTAAAATGTTAAAAGTAAGGAATGAGGGAACAAATGAAAACAGAGCACACCTGATTTTTAAAAATATTTAGAAATAAGGGGTTAAATCAAAGCATCGGCTCCAAAAGCATGAGGGAGAAAGAAAAGGATTGAAAATGTAGTAAGAGGACCTATTCTTTGTACTTATGCAGAGCTGTTGCTGTAAAATAGATGACGCACAAGATAAATCAGAATTCAACCACATGAGAAAAATGTCAGTTTCACCTTTCCTTGAATCAAAAGCCACATGAGAGATACAAGCTTCTAGATCAGTGGTTCTCAACCTTTTTAATGCCGTGACCCCAACCGGTCGTAAGTCGAGGACTAAACCGGTCGTAAGTCGAGGACTAAACCGGTCGTAAGTTGAGGACTACTCAACCGGTCGTAAGTCGAGGACTTTCCCTGCCCGGGAGCGCCGCACATGCGTGGTTCCGCCCCCTGCGCCGGCCGAGGCGTAGCTGGCAAGCGGCAGAGACGGAGCAGGCCGACCACCAGCTGGCCCAGCCCAGGGAGGTAAGGCACCCACCGGAAAAGGGGAAAAAAATGGCGGACAAAAAAAATGACGGACAGCCTTGCTTGGCGACCCCCATGAAATGGTCGATCGACCCCAAATGGGGTCCCGACCCACAGGTTGAAAACCACTGTTCTAGATCAGTGTTTCTCAACCTTGACAATTTTAAGGCATGTGGACTTCAACTCCCAGAAATCCACAGCCGTGGATTTCTGGGAGTTGAAGTCCACATGCCTTAAAATTGTCAAGGTTGAGAAACACTGTTCTAGATCCTCTAATGCAGGGGTAGGCAACCTTGGCTCTTTTATGACTCGTGGACTTCAACTCCCAGAATTCCTGAGCCAGCATGGCTCAGCTTGGAAACTCTCCCTTTCCCCTCAGCATGGCTGGCTCAGGAATTCTGGGAGTTGAAGTCCACGAGTCATAAAAGAGCCAAGATTGCCTACCCCTGCTCTAATGCAAATGGGCCTCATTGAGAGCCAGTCCCTTCATCTAGTCTCCATCTCTCAATGAGATGTGCTTGCATTGGTCGGCTGGAATCCTGTGTCTTTCACAAGGCTTTTCCTGATCAGGAAAAAAAAAAAAAGCTTTGCCCAATGAATCCGTATTTGTTAAAAAGGTACTGCCAGGAAAAAAAATATAAGATCACATATACAGATAGTTCTTTACTTACAATCCGCCACTTAGCAATCATTTGAAGTTACAATGGACCCTCGAAAAGCTACTTGCAACCCTACTTCAAAGTTACATCAACTTCCCTCTCATAGTCACATGGCTGCATTTTGGACACTTGGCAATCAGCCCATATTTACAGCCGTTTGCAACCACCCATGGGCATGTGACCACAATATATCATATTTTTGTCAGTTTTTAACTTCCAGTTTCTGGCAAAAACAGGCCCATAGCAAACAGTGGGTTTGCTTAATGACCAGTGCAAAAAAGTCATAACTGGTGACCCACTTTACAACCATCAGGACATATGACCATAATTGCCAGGCTCTGTTACGGTCTTAAGTCAAGGATTATCTGTATTTTTAAAGTTCAGGTTATGAAGACACAGGTCGTTACAACTTGCATTCTACCAATTTATATATTGCTAAATATTACCGCATGTTATTTTGTAACATCACTGCTGGCAGTATTAATTGATTGGTTTTATTTACTTCAAGTAGTTAGCTGCCTCAGTCACCCAGGCGACTTTAGGCAGTGTAAAGAAAAAAACAGGATGAAAAACAGAAATATGTGAATATATGTCTTCTATTATGTTATAAATATATGATTTTTGCATAAAGGTCCTGAAAATATCACAAATTATTTACTTATTTATTTATAAATTTATCTGCCACCCCTCTCGTCACAAGCTGATTTTGGGCGGCTAGACCAGGGGTAGGCAACCCAAAACACTCAAAGAGCCACTTGGACCCATTTCCCACCGAAAACAAAACACTGGGAGCCGCAAAACCCTTTTGATATCTAAAATGAAGATAACACTGCATATATCCTTTTTTACCTTACTATAGGTGTGTGGGTGGGTGTGTTTATATATATATATGACTCATGGACTTCAACTCTCAGAATTCCTGAGTCAACATAGCTGGGCTAGCTATCTCTCTCCTGCTCTTCCTGCTTCCTGTTTCCTGCTTCCTGCAGAGACGCAGCCAAGGCAGGAGCCCCGCCCAGTAAGCTTGTCAGCTGATCGAACAGGGTGAGGCTACTCTCTTTTACACACACACACACAGAGAGAGAGAGAGAGAGAGAGAGAGAGAGAGAAGGCAAGCGCAAGCGCAAGCACCTCTCTCTGTTTCTGTCTCTGTCTCTGTCTCTGTCTCTCTCTGCAAATGGCAGAGGAGGCTGGGAGCTGCAGGGGAAGGCTCAAAGAGCCGCAGGTTGCCGACCTGTGGGCTAGACCATTTTGCTTGCTTAGACCATTTTCAAGATTCTAAAAGACAACGAAGAACCACCCATGAAGGTTTATTTTATCTTACCGTGTGGGGTTTTCCTCAAAGAGGATCTTCTCATTCTCCTCTGTCATGACAAAACTTGGTCCCTTTTCTTCAATGCAATTGGCAGAATTGGCATCAGGTTTACATCGGACCCACATGTACCGGCCTTTCTGAGGAGCTCCTGGTGAAAAATGGTAGAATGTGTTGAAATCAAGTTTTATAACCTATTAAACATTACTAGGACAGCTTTGTAATGTTGGTATTGGAACAGCATTGCCGGTTCAGTATACCCATCATACTCTGCAAAAATAACAACAGAAAACTCTGTAAACCGTGATAACCTTTGTCAAAACCTGAGGACAGGCAACTTGAGATATCCTTTATGTATTTAATTATTTAATTAATCAATTTAGAGGCCACCCAGACCTCTAAAGATGGCGTGCCATTGGAAAAGCAAGGGAACCAATTTTTAAAAAAGTGAAAACAATTGTGCATGTCAGGAAAAAGAGAAATATTTAATTAAATTAAAGTTCCAGAGGAGCTGGAGACATACTTCCCCAGGTTCTGGGGGATCAGGTGGGTTTTTAGTGCTTTTTTGAACAATATCAGGCTGGGAGACAGAGGGATTCCTGGGGAGATGCTGCTTCATGGGTCCCAATAGATGGCACTATTTGATTGAAGGGAACACCACACTGCCTATCTTACAGGGCAGGCAGAAATTATCAGATAGAGAGTCCCTCAAATACCCAAGCCAAAATGGTTTTCCTTTCAGAAGAAAATTCTTGCCAAGGGGTTTAAAATTTAATATTACATTTTAAAACATCTCAGTCAAGAGAGACTAATTAGGAACAATAAACCTAAATATGGAGTCTGATAATAGGCAGCTTACTCAGCAAATATTTTGTCCCTTTTTTATAGATTACTAGCTTATTGAAAAAAATATTGAAAAAACTGGTATAAAGGTATAAACTGAAACAAATTTATAAGTAATAAATGAGCAATTTTCTCCAAACTGTAGGATTCCAGATAAATGGGAAAATATTCCTAAATTTCCATTGGTTACATTCATTCAAAATTCTCAGAACTAAAATCTAGATGCATCTGGTGGGCCCAAAACTGGGAAAGGCTATGTAATGATGGTTTGTCATAAAAGCCTAACAGTTGAAAATGGGTAGCAAGTACCTGAACACAATGCCTAACACTCTAGAACTGTCAAGTAGAAACTCATGTTGTACCAATATAATCTTAACACCACTGATAATTTGAAAAATCTTTCAGCCATAAAATCTATCATAGGAAGTTCTTCTCTAATTTAACATAATAAGAGAATAAAAGAGTTGGAAGGGACCTCGGAGATCTTCTAGTCCAGTGATGATGAACCTTTTAGAGACCGAGTGCCCAAAAACCGGCCCCTCCCCGCCAAACTCAAAAAATTTGCAGCATTCCAAAGAGGAATTGTAAGGCCTTTGGGAGAGTGTGCTGAGCAAGACTCAAAGGAAGGCTGAGAAATACAAGGCTTACAATTATATCAGACGTTCTAGCAAATAGTGTTCAGGTTGAGGTAGGAGGACATATTAGTTTTTAGTCCACCTCCCAAACCAGGTGCTTTCCAGATGTGTTGAAGTAACTTCATCATTGCTAGCAAGCACCGGGTTGAAGAAAGTTGCAAACATCATCCTTTTCAAACGGTATAACAGGCCTGGCCAACCTTGATATAAAAACTCAACCCATTTCCTTTCTCTCACCACAACATAGATAACTAAGTTTCCATGACATGGCTGAGTCAATCATCTCCCCTAGTTAAGTGACTCACTTCACATCTAGGCACACAATCAGGAATCGCCATATCAATGGAGAGGAATCATTTTCAAAAGTTTCAGAATGTGAATTTCTGCAAATTCCAGTATGAATGAACTTCATAGGGCTTCTGGGATAGGTTGAAAAAAGTTCCTGGTATTTATGTTCCCACCACAAGAGCAGAACTGGAAGGTCGTGCCAATGTACAGTTTAGCTGTGGTGTAATTGACACACCGCAAAGCTATCATTCATTCATGCATCCATCCGTCCGTCCGTCCGTCCGTCCATCCGTTCGTTCGTTCACTTTCAGATCTTTTAAGAGAAATTACAAAGCTCGTTTAATGGCTTTGCAGTATGAAGATTGCAAGTGTCCAGTCCTGTGGAATAAGAGGGCATTTTTACTGTTGCTAGTTCTGAACAAAGGATGGGTGAAATCATCTCTCCCAAAAATCAGCTTGGGTTAAGCCATTTGTACCATAAAGATGCCCACACTGATTGAAACCTTGATGTCACTATAAACGTCACTGGAATTCTTTTGCAATGGCTTACAGAATACAGAATGGAATACAGTTGGAAGGGACGTTGGAGGTCTTCTAGTCTAACCCCCTGCCCAAGCAGAAGATCCTATACGATTCCAGACAAATGGTTGTCCAATCTCTTATTAAAAACCTCCACTGATGAAGCACCACAACTTCTGGAGGCAAATGGTTCCATTAATTAATTGTTCTCACTGACAGGTTGAATCTCTCTTTGATAAGTTTCCATTTGTTACTTCTTGTCCTGCCCTTGGTTGCTTTGGAGAATAGATTGTCTCCCTCTTCTTTGTGACAATGTCACAAATATTGGAACACTGCTATCATGTCACCCCTTCTCTTCATTAAACTAGATATACGCAGTTCCTGCAACTGTTCATAAACTTTCTTTTGACAAGAAGCCCATTTATCAGAGATCTGCCTCCTTGGATGCCTACTGACTTCAGCTTCCAGTTCTAATCTTGTAAAGGCAAGGCTGACACCTTGTCACCGTTTCAAACTGCCAGAAGTGAAAGGCAATTATTTCCCAGATTTTGGGAACTGAAAAACCTGATGGGATAAATGGGATAGAATGACTTAAAAGTCAGCACATACAAAAGTACAGGTAGTTCTCTTCTAATGGCTACAATTGGGATCAGGCTTGTTGTTGTAAGTCATAAAGTGAAATGTCATTGACCACACCGATTTAACGCTGGTAATTCCTGCAGTCCCCATTGTGGTCATTAACAATCACAAGTTGTTAAGCACGTATCCACTTCAATCCAAACCGTTCCAGGCTTGTTCCTTCCCAGCCCTTCAGTAAGCTAAGGGTCTGCCTCCAACTCCTCCCCTCATCTCCCTCCATCTCTGGCAGCCCTGCACTCTGCCATGTGGGGTGGCAAGCACCCCAGAACCACATGGCTCTGGGGCTATTTGCAATGCCCTGGGAAGCCTCAGCCACCCCAGTAAGCATTCATTCACCCAGCTGTTTTCTCTTCCAGTTCCCTGCACCAACGTTTTGCCTTTTGTGCCCAGTCACCGTCACCAAAACAGAAACATCTCACTGTTTTTGCTGTCTCCTTTTTGGACTCAGCTTCTCCATCAAACATTTCCTATATGTGGCTCTCAGAGTTTTTGCAAAGGTGCAACATCTTTGTAAAGCATTCCGATGGCAGTGCAGCTTTACAAAGAAAGCCCAGGTAAAAAGTCAGGGCAGGGAATTGTTGGAAGAAAAGTCTTCATCATGGTTCATCCAAGCTGGGAATAAACATGGCAACTGCTTTGGGAAGAAGGTTGTAGTTTATTGGAGAGGAGAGCCAGACAGGAAGATGGTTCTGGCAGCAAGAGAAGTGAAAAAAGGACTGAACACATGTAGGGCATAGGTTTTTATACCCTCTGAAGCCTTTTGTTTGGAGTTATTTCCTGTTCCTGTTTTGAGGCTATTTCCTGTGTCATGTATTCTGACCTGAGTTTGGGTGTGCCCTTTTTGCCTTTGTGAGTTAATCCTACCATGTCCTGTCCCAGGTGGGGTATGCAGATTTTAGGTCTTTGTCTTCCTAATTTCTTAGCTTCAACTTTCCTGATGGTTTACATCTGCATCTCTATAGAGCTGGTTTCTGCTTGGGGGAGGGAGACCTGGGGCTATTAAGAAAACTGGGCATGCTTTCCTGCTTTTTTAAGATCCTTTGAGGAAATATATTTTTCTGCCCTTTTAATGTTTCCTTCTCTGGGGGGCTGACTTCCCACAGAATGGAAGTGAAGGCAGCTGGGTGAATGAATGCTTGCTGGGGTAGCTGAAGCTTATGAGGCATAGCAAGCAGCCCCAGAATCGGTGGTTGCCACCCCATAAGTCAGGATGTAGGGTGGCCAAAGGGCATAGACAAGGGGAGATGAGGAGCGGGAGAGGGAATTGAAGCCTCCTGCAGTTATAAGTATGGCCAGGCTGCTAGGCACCCAAATTTTGATCATGTGACTTGGGGGGGGCAATGCAATGGCCATAACTTGGAGCATGGTCATAATTCCATTTTTTCAGCATGGTTGTAGCTTTGAATGGTCACTGAATGAATGATGATAAGTCAAGGACTACCTGTAACAACAACTGGAAATAGAAGTTTTTTTTTCTCAGTCAATTTTTTTTCCTCCTGTGCAAATCCAGATGTTCTCATCATGGTAAATTAGAAAAGGGGAAGTTAAGAGAGTCTTTTTGTACAGCCAAGTAATGGATCATACAAGAGAGATACAGTGGTTAGCACACTGGCCTTGGATCATGGTAGCTTAGGTCAAACTCTGTTTCCGATTACTTTAAGCCAGTTGTTCTTTCTTATTTTAATCACTTCTACAGTAATTATTACAGGTACAGTAGTTGTAGGCCGAGGACTACCTGTAATAATTACTGTAGAAGTGATTAAAATTGGCTTAAAATAATCAACGAAAGTTGTTGACTTACAACCACAACTGAGCCCAAAGTTTCTGTTGCTGAGCGAAACATTAAGTGTTAAGTGAATTTTGCCCCATTTTACGACCTTTCTTGCCACAGTTGTTAAGTGAATCACTGCAATTGTTAAATCAGTAACATGGTTGTTAAGTGAATCTGCCTTTCCCATTGACTTGCTTGTCAGAAGGCCGCAAAAGGTGGTCATATAACCCCCTAGATAGAACATTGCAACCGTCACAAATATGAGTCCTTTGCTAAGCGTCTGAATTTTGATCATGTGACCATGGGGATGCTGTAACAGTCGTAAGTGTGAAAATGGTCATAAGTCACTTTTTTCAATGCTGTTGTAACTTCAAACGGTCACTATACAAACTGTTGTAAGTCGAGAACTACCTGCATTATGGGGAGCCAAGTCATCTGTCCTAAAATCTCTTACTC